GTTGTAAGCCTCTGTTTTGGGATGGTTTGTTATGCAAAAACAGCTAGGTGAAATAGAGGAAGAAACAGAAAGGAGAAAGGTCTGAATCACCCAGGATTATGGAAGCAGAGGAAAGAGACCATTTCAAGTAGGGAACAACCCATATAATTAAATGTTGTGAAGAAATCAGACATCTTACATTTAAAAAGTATAGTCATATCATAGTCTGTGGTGAAAAGCATCACTGAAAATTCCTTTCCTCTACATTATGGTTCTGTTTTCAAAAGCAATAGAGCACCCTAAAGCTGATAGTCCTTTTATTTATTTGCTATTCTTCATAAAGTTGGATGAAGCCTAAAGTTCTATTGATTTCCTTGTCTATTCAAGATTGCTCAAGTTTACTCATAGTCTTCCACTAAAGGGCTTACTAAGGGATGAACCCAAGGGTCTGTGCCTTTTAAATATAAGGATTCTGCGTCCTGTGGTTAGAGAGACTACCATGCTCATTAGTGTCTGGTGCAACATCTAATAACCTCTCTTTTTTTGCTTGTATATCCTGCTGATTTTCAAGTTGGTATACAAATGTGAGTCTGGCTCTTTAAAAAAACCTATTGAAATGACTGAGATTAGATAACCATTTACCCATCCTCTCTGCAGGGTTTTGCACCAGGACCTTGGCAACTCTTGTGTTGTGAATTCTCATTTGGCTTATCAACATCTCAGTGCTCCCACTGAGAGCCCAGACAATTCAATCACGCATTCAGCAACCCTTTATGTTACTCTTGCTTCCTTAAGGGCTATAATATTACTTATCATGCTGTCAGTCTGTGCTTTTGCAGACTTCCTTCCTTTCCTTGGCTCATCAAACTTGTTGGAAATTGACCTGAATTGCCTATCTAGGGAACTTAAAAGAAGAGCACATCTCATCAGCTTTTCCCTGGATTACCCACAGGCTATTATGTCTTCACTGAGTTAAAACAGCAGAGCCCAATGATTAAAAAAAATTAAGATATTATTTTCTTTTGCAATCATTTATTTGTAGTTGTATATCAACTAAGTGACACTTGGCATTTGATTTTTAAGATTTGGGATAATTTTAAAATTCTTGAAAAGTTCTATTATTTTTAAGTTATTATTAATCAGAAATATATCCAAACCAATTAAAGTAAAAATAACTACTGAAGGACAAAGAAATAAATATATAAAATATAAGCTATGGGACATTTAAAAAGCTTTTACCAACTACATTAACAATAAGCATATTTTGCTCCTCAAACAAACTCACTGGGAAGAAGAGAGCGTTCTACTGAGCTCTCAACTTTTAAAAATGAGTATGCATGCTCCTTTTATTATAAAGTAATACATATTCACACATACACTAGTGTTATGAAAATTATGCCATGTCCTTTTATTATAAAGTAATACATATTCACACATACACATATGGATATGACGCAAGGTAGATTTTAAGTACATGATTAAGTAAATTACTCAAAGGCCATGGGACAGAAAAGCTCACAGACCAAATTAAAATGAGTGAATCACTCAGCTCATTAAATCAAAGTAAACGCAGAACAAGAAGAAAGAGACAGAAGCAGATGTGATAGGAGCAGTGAAAGCAGAGCAGGAGTCTTCTATCTGAATCCTGGATTACGCAATGTTATACATCCCATCTCTGGCTGCTGCTGCTATGGTGATGAGAACCAAGAGTGATGTTTGAGTGAGGAGGCTATGGATAGAAAGTGCCTAGACAAACACACACACACTTTATAACAGAGGCAAGTACATCTGGCCACAGTTAAAGGTTACCAACTAGCCTGATGGGCAGCAATAGGTTTTATTTGTCAGAATGTATGTCATTAAAAAGTGGTGAGCTTAATATACCTGAATGGTGAGTACCCATATGGCTCACCTATAAAGTAGATGGTGCATATTAGGTCCTTAGTACATCCACACTTTACTTACTTTATCTATAACCAATTTCTCTCAGAGGTAACTAACATCTACATCTACATCTATGTCTGTATACCTATATCTTGTAAGTTCTGCCTATGTTTCACATGCTACTTGCTTAGTTATTATTATCTTTACCTGACAGCCTATGAATTTTGCCTATAGATGAATAGATAAAGAAGATGGTATAGCCCTAACCGGTTTGGCTCAGTGGATAGAGCGTCGACCTGTGGACTGAAGGGTCCCAGGTTCGATTCTGGTCAAGGGCATGTACCTTGGTTGTGGGCACATCCCCAGTAGGGGGTGTGCAGGAGGCAGCTGATCGATGTTTCTCTCTCTATGATGTTTCTAACTCTCTATCCCTCTCCCTTCCTCTCTGTAAAAAAATCAATAAAATATATATTTTTAAAAAGAAGATGGTACATATATAGAATGGGATATTTGCCATAAAAAAAGAATGAAATCTTAGCATTTGCAACAACATGGGTGGACCTAGAGTGTATTATGCTAAATGAAATAAGCCAGACAGGAAAGACAAATACCATTTGATTTCTCTTATAGGTGGAATCTTAAAACAACAACAAATAAACAAAACAGAAACAGACTCATAGAAAAAGAACAAGCTTATGGTTGCCAAAGGTTGGGGCATGAAGGATGGGTGGGAAAAAATGGAAAGACCAAGTGAATGCCCAAAAAAAGAGATTGCAATCATAACTAAAAGTGACTGAACGTTTTAGAACTAGATGGAGATGCCACTTGATGGGGCGAAATGCCCACTGTGAAAGGGGGAATGACAGATTACAGTTGGTAGACATTATTTTTTTTTAAAAAAAACAATCTGTTTGATATTTACCTTTAAATATTGATATTTCTCAAACTAGTTCCAGAGCCATTATTATTGTCTTGGGATCCTCCTATTAACCTTATTCATTCATTCCTTTTTTTCATGTTATATATTCATTCACTTATAAGCATCAAGTTAGGCACAGTATTCATGATAAGTACAATAAATTAGGAAGACAGTCAATTGGTTATCATGTCCTGTCCATTCAACTTCTAAATATCTCCTAAGCCTTTGTCCACTTACCCCTCCCCAAATGCCTCTGTCTTGGTTTAGGCCACAGCCACAGCTTTCATTCGAATTATTTCCTTGTCTCTGATCTCTTACCATTTAGTCCATTTTCCACTCTTTCCAAGAGAGACTTTTTCAAAAGGCAAATAGGATTGTCACTCCCTGTTGAAGATGACTAATTATCTCCCAGCATCTAGTCTTCCTTTAGTAATAGAGACTACCTTTTAGCCAAGCAAATGTCTGTCCAGAATAAAAAATACATTTCCCAGCACCCTGGCTGCCAGTGATGGCCATGTGTGTAAATTCTAGACAGTGTAAAAACATTTTTTTTCTTGTAATGATCTTTATTTTGTTTGTAATTATTTTTCATGAATGTGAAAAATACCAGTGAGCCTATAACATTTTGAGTATGTTTTCATGGTGAAATCAGTGATTACATAGTGAAAATATAACTTTTCAACATTACCTGTAGGCAGTATAGATAATCATAACACTAGCAGATAGAAGGTTTATCTGTGACTAGAAAAGAGCCCCCATACCACATGGAAAAGGTTAAACTGGCCAGTCAAATCCAGTTTAAATTCCATATAGTTTGGAACAAAACTTATACTGATGCAAATATAAAGGTAAAGTCTGACTAGCTCTGAAGAGGAAAAAAATGAAGCAGGGCTTTTGGTTTTTAGAACTCAGCTGTAATTATTTATTAGTGAATTTATATATCAATTTCATATATTCAGGAGTTCTGGTATTCTAGGCTATTTTAAAGAATTGAGATACGATATTTTTGTTGGAATTCTTATTGTCATGCCAGATTTTTAAAAGAATCTGAAAGCTAAATCATTTCCATCTTACAATTCAGCCAGTTTTTAAATGATTAAAGTGTTATATAAACAAAGGTACACCTGCTTAGAAAGCATTTTTCCATATATAAATAATTTCCAAAAGGAAGAGAACGATGAAGATACACAGAGCAAAACTTTTATTGTACAAATAATCCTTATTTTAGTTCAAAGACTGTCTGAAGAGTGAAATATCCATCAGTAAGTGATGAAAGTAAAGGACGATAAACTGGTAATATATTCCTTGAAACACAAATTGTAGCTTCCACTCAGTAAAAACATTTCAGCTCTTGCAAATAAAAAAAGTTGTTAAGAAGTCTTCAAAGGTCTCAAATAAGGCACAAAATTGTTTGAAAATAAGAGTCTAAGGAAAATAATTGGAGTTGATTTATAATTATGTCTGCGCTCTTGCCAAGACCCTTTTAGTCTCAGAAAAACTTTATGAAAGAGCTAGAAAATATGCACCAAAAATATATTCAAACTCAATAATGACATCATTAATTTCCTTTGGTTTTGAAGGATTTCACTTTTGGAAAACTAATTATTATTTTACTTTCTTTTAAAATTTTTTTGGTTGAACTTTTTTCATTTTTTATACTGTAGTTTACTTTTCAACACATTATTATAATTTTACCTAGTAATTATTTCCATTGGAATGTTCAGGTTTGCCTATCACTTATATTTTACAGTTACATTTTATTTGTGTTTTATAATGTTTATACATTTTCATATTTTAAGTGTATTACTTATCTTTACTTTTAAAAATTATGAATCCTGAACAATTTTAAATGATAGCTTTGTCATTTTTCTCTTGTATTGCATCATTGTGCATATATTGTTCAAATCATAGTTAATGGTCCTATATTTCCAAATCTCCCAGTTTGAGGATGGCACTCTTACACAAACAGATAAATGTTTTTGGATGTTTGCATGAGAAGGTAATCAGGGAATTTAAGTGTTCTCAAATTTTAATTCTCATTGGCATTACTAAACTCATAATCTTCCCCCATATCTGCTCAACCAGCAACTATTTTCACCAGTTGATAGCAAGCTTATGCCGCCAGTTGCCGAGAACAAAAATCCTGGCATTGTTCTTGATGAGGTTGCTCCTTGCCTCTTGCTATAAAGTCATCAACAGCAAATTCAGTTTACTGTACCTTCAACACATGTCCAGAAGTAGCCCATTTCTCATCACCTTTTCTGCAGATGCCCTGGTCTAGGTCTCCAACATCTCACTGTGGATTACCATGTCCCCGTCTCCCCGCTTCCACTCTGGTGTCCCTACAGAAGCCAAAAAGATCCTCTTAAATGTCAGATCAAAATACTTCACTCCTCTGTGCCAGACCTTGCAATGGCTTCCCATCTATAATAATAAAAGGGTAATATGCTAATTAGACCGAATGTCTTCCAGACATCATTCTGGATGTCCTTCATGACAAAGCTGGGGCAGAGGGAAGGCAGCCCGGGTCCCTGGTGCCTGCGGGTGGCCCGGGGGAAGCCAGCCAGGGTCCTGGGTGCTGGAGGGAAGCTGGTGCCGGCAGCCAGGGGACGGAAGGCCTACTCTTGCACAAATTTTCGTGCATTGGGCCTCTAGTATCTTATAAGGAGATGAGTCCTCAGCCCTTGCTGAAGGCTTAAGAAAAAAGGAAAGTTTATTGTATTGACCATGTTCTTTCATCCTTCCTGATGCTCCGAGATTCCACCTTTTATTATTTCACTTCTGTTTAGAGAATTTCCGGTAGTTATTCTTATAAGGTAGGTCTGTTGGTGACAAGTTTTCTTTGTTTTCCTTTATCTGAGAATGTCTTGATTTTTCCCTACATTCCTGAAGAATATTTTGGCTGAATATAGGATTCTGGGTTGATTGCTTTTTTCTTTCAGCATTAAAAAATGTTGTACTGCTTATTTCTGGCCTTCGTGGTTTCTGATGAAAAGTCTACTGTCATTCAAATTGCACCCCCCTTCACTCCCAAGTGTGTTTCTCTCTTGCTGCTTTCAAGATTATTTTTTCTATATTTTTGAGAAGTTTGACTCTGATATTTTTGGTATGGATTTTTAAAGGCTTATTCTACTGGCTATTTGCTCAGCTTCTTCAACCTAGAGATTTATGAGGTTGTTTTTGGTGAGTCAAATTTGGGAAATTTTCAGCTATTGTTTCTTCTAATCCTTTTCCAGCACTTCTCTCCTTCCAGGGCTGTGATGATATGGGTGTTAGATCCTGTGTATGAGTTCTATGGGTCCCTGAGGCTCTGTTCATTTTTTAAAATCAATTTCCTCTCTTTTGTTTAGAATGAGTCATTTCTATTGTTTCATCTTTTAGTTCACTGATTTCCCCCCCGCTGCCCCCTCCATTCTACTATTGAGTCCATCTACTACTGAGATTTTAAAATTTCAGTTATTGTACTCTTCAGTGCTAAAATATCCTTTTGGTTCTTCTTTATATTTTCTATTTCTTTGCTGAGATTCTATTTGTTTTAAGTGTGTTCATAATTGCTTATGGAATCATTTCATGATGGCTCTGCTAAAATCTTTGGCAGAAAATCCTAACATTCTGTCAGATCTGCTTTACCATCTATTGACTGTCTTTTTTTCATTCAGTTTGATAGCTCAGGTCTGACAATGGTCATTTGCTAGAGGTGCTTTTATTCTTATGTCTGTTTTTCACATGAGGGAATGGAGGTTCAGATGGGTTCCAAAATACAACTTTGGGAATGCCACTGAGAGCTGAAACTAGTACCCAAGTGTGTCTGACATCAAAGCCAGGCTCTTAAGCTCTGAAATTATAGATAATTATATATAGTATGATTCTATTTTTACAAGAAAAAATGTACAGCTAGATATGGATTTCTAGCATAGAACAAAATTAAGACTAAATTTCGAAATATTAGCTGGGTTTTTAATAAATATAATATTTGAATGATTTCCATTTTTGTCTCTCTGTGCCTTAAATTATCCACAATAATCTCAATTTAATAATCTATTTCATGATTTTGAATAAAACTCTGAATATCTTGCATGTTTGTTTAAACTTATTTAAAGTTGTGTTTTTGAGGTTTTGTTGCTCATATGAATAGCCACAAATTATGTGCTCTGAAGCAATGAACTTAAATGTTAAAAAATATAACATTACTTATCACTTCTGGACTCTTACTTGCAGGAAGTAGACTTACTACATTTTTGTAAGGCAGCACAGTTGATTTATGTTTACTTTCTCACATTTTTTAAATTTTTTAATATCAGTTTTGTCTATAGTCAAATTTATTTAGAATTTACATCATTATTTTCAAACCAACAATTTTGAAATAAAATGTTAAATCCTTCTATTCTCTCATTCTCTCCTTTCTTCCTCTATAGTCAATATTTAAGGCAGCAACAAAACCTCTGAAATGATAATATATATTTTTTAATAGACTGGAATGACATGGCATATTTTCACATCATGTTACCATGGCTACCAAACCCTTCAGCTCATCTTCATTTAAATATGCTCACTGCTAAATTAGGGATACAGCTTAAACAATTTGTGATACTCTATAATTTTTGTTTAAAACATTGGTTATCTGACATCTCAAGTTCACTCTTTCAATGAGAACAGTGCCAGAGTGTTGCTGTCTATAGAACATTTATTATGCTTCATAATTCTCCCAAAAGTAGTTTTCAAAAAATGGCCAACACTTGTCAAGAGAGCATTTCACATTCTGTATAGGTATCTGTCATTCAGGTACACAGCAAAATTTATGAATGTCATGAAATAAATCAGAATGCTTTTCCAAATTACAAGATGTCTGGATTGATACTGAGACTTAGATACACCCACACCCCCACACCAGAATACTGAAGAACCCTCACGTGACAACAAAGGTCTCTTCCTGCCTGATTTCAAAAAGTCTGTCTAGACGCAGCCCCCCTGCACTCCTCTCTATGTGAAGGTGTGATTGTTGCACATTGCAGCCAGCCCACACTGACTCGATTAATCAGGGGTGAGCTTTGCAGAGAGAGAAAGCAGAGGTCCTAAATGAAAAATGGTCAGCACCAAAAAGTGTATACTTGCCCACTCGTTTCTGGGAGCCTCACAGATTAGAGAGTGAAGATATGAATTTAGTGGTGTGTGTGTGTGTGTGTGTGTGTGTGTGTGTGTGTGTGTGTGTGTGCAGGCATATTGGAATGAACAAGGTATATGACAGCACGTAATTTTGCACACTCCAGGTTGCTTAAATACTAGTTTTTAAAAACCTAACTGGCTTTAAGGGGGATTTTAATCTCATCTAAATGTTGTTTTCTCCAACTGAAAACAAAAACAAAGTCTTTAAATAAGTAACATCATAATAAAGAGAAATAATTGGTTTGATCCTGGTTACTCTTTAGATTTTATTTTTAAAAGGATAATTCTTTAAATGTTATGGAATTACAATGCATCAAATATATCTAGATTCTTCCAATGGTTACTCAGAAATGCACATGAACTAACAAGATATGTTAAATTTTCTAATATCATGTTTTATACTTTGACTATTTAAAAATTTTAATTAAAAATGATGAGGTTTTTGCCTAGGTGAAAACTAAAAGATCAAATTCTAATATCCATAAAACTCTAAGGCCCAATAATAATTGTGGATAAGTGTATGGGAACATTGGGATGACACTCAGCACCTAATTCTATTAGTAAGCCTAATTTTGCATAAAGTATTAAGAGTTTTTATTAAAATGAGCTGTTCATAAATTCTAATGTACTGGCTAACCTTCCTACTTCCAGTTTTTCTTAAAACAGAATACTAAAAACACCAAATCAAAGCAGGGAATGAATTCTAATAATCCTTCGTTTTGAATATTAGGATCATGGACTGACAGTCACGACTTAATGTGAATGACTCATGATCTTATTTTGGTTTTTAGCAAAACAAACCAATAATAAATAAATTAAAGTGACCTTCTCATTTTAGTGAAGCAGGTGGAGTAAAATATTTAACAGGTTTAAGAAAGCAAAGAAAATAGTATGTGTCTAAGTCGGTTTCAATTTGCCTGAGAAACTGTCTACTTAGCACTTTCCTCAGAAGGGAAAAACTGGCTTAAAGGGCAGTAGATTGGGGCTACTGAACATATACTACACTGCTTTAGAATTTTCTAATAGTGTTCCACTACATGGAATAAAACCTAAACTCTTGCCCTTGGCCTCTGCTTCTCTCTCTGACTCATATTCCACCTGTTTCGCATCATTCTCTATTTTCTAGCCTTAGCTATTTCCATTCCTCAGACATATTAAGCTCATTCCTAACTCAGGGCCTTTGTATCTGTTGAGGATGCTCTTCCTCAGATCATCACAGCTCTCAAACCAAATGGTATCGTTCAGTTCTTTCCTGCGCTTCATCACTAAAGTGGCTGTCTCAGGTGTTCTGAGTATTACTTTATTATTATTTTTTAATTTTGTGTGTGTTTGTTTTCTGTTACTCTAACCAGAAAAATGAATAAGCTTCTTTTAGAACAATGCTTAGAACTGGGTCTGACACATAGTATGTGCTGAATACACTTTTATAGACCGACTGACCTTCAGGTTCAAAAGTAGGTCCTGTGACAGTCTGATTTTGTCTAATAACGAATATATACATCATAATTTTATAACTTACCAGGATTTCTGTTTATAATATATTGTTATATTCGTAGGCCTTTCTATAATCTGAGAGAAAATGAAGGAGAGGTGATGTTATTTTAATTTGTATAGTTTAGAGTAGGAAGCGGCTCATATCCAGCTCTAAGTGGTGAGGTTGATGTTGATTTCATGCTCTTCACTGCTGTCTGTCCACTTTTCATGAGCCTCAGATGGCTAAGATTAACTGATGGGACAGAAACACGTGTACTATAGTGGGTGGGTTAACCAATCCACCCCATCTGGCATCAGTGCGATCTGATCTGACCACTAATCTGTTGCTATCATCACTGGACACAAAGTCATCTCTTCCTTCTTTCATACAAATTCTGCTTAGAATAAAGGGCATGAGCCTCAGATGGCTAAGATTAACTGATGGGACAGCAACACGTGTACTATAGGTGGGTGTGTTAACCAATCCATCCCATCTGGCAACAGTGCTATCTGATCTGACCACCAATCTGTTGCTGTCATCACTGGATACAAAGTCATCTCTTCCTTCTTTCATATAAATTCTCCCTAGAATAAAGGGAAAAATACTATGTACTTAAAATCATTAGATCTGTATTAGTGTTACAAAACATCATCACAAAATCTTCTACCACACCCTAGAAGAACAAGTCTTATACTTAACACTGTA